CACTATAGGCAAGAACCCCATCCACGCAGCCTTCCCTGCATTTCCTGCCTCTGATAGCTGGAACCTCTACCAGTGGATCCAGCTACACGTTTCTGGATGGCTGAAGTTGGCAGGGTGGGGCTACAGATGCTGCCTCTGTGTTTTCAGGGAGAGGAGCTGGAGGTTAGGTGGGTTTTCTGCGGGAATTTGGAGGCAGAAATGTTTATTTTTTCCTCTACAGACCAGTGTCTATCCTCTAAATAATGGGGAATCCTCTCTTTGGGAATCTCTTCGTGCCATTCTCAGGAGGGTATCTGCTGTTCCGGTTCTCTTGGCCTTTTATTTCTGGTTCCCTCACATCCAGAGAAGCCAAATTTGCAACAAAATCCCAGTTTAGGAGCCAAAGGCTGTGGTGCGAGCACGTAGGACCCTGGGGCCATGGTGCCATAGGGTCCCTACATTGTAAGGGCAGAAGTGACAAGGATTGGATTGAACAACGTGGGATGCCCAACCTGCACACTAAGCACTGAACCTGTAGTGTTTCTTTGGGAGGAACTGTCCCTTGCAGCTCGGTGTGTGGCATGGAGAGCCCTGGGGAATAAAGCAGATGCTTTCTCTAACAGCGCATTTGCTTTATTTTAGGGATGCTAGCTATGAAATTTGCTCAAGCATAACCCAGGCTGCTGTTTTGTCCTGAGCACTGGGCTTTGTTCCATGGCTAGCTAGCCAAGATTTGGTGACATCTATCTCTGTGTGCAGGCTGAGAACTGCAAGGTCAGAGTGTAGGAACCTTCCTGGGGTTGGAGGAAAGCCCCAGGGCTGGGTGGTGTCAACGTCCCCCTGCTCCCACCCCTGGGGATTTCAGATCCCTCTTGGATCTCAGCTCTAAGCTTGCTGCAGTCCAGAGGAGCTGATGGAGCAGCACTCAAGCATGCTTTTCTGCATTGCTTGGATGTGCAGTGGGGGCAGCTCTGCAGCAGGGAACGTGTTGGTCCCCTCCCCGATGCAGGTTATGTGGGGTGCTGTCTCCCTGCCTGCCCTGCCGGCACGTACCATGCTGCTCTTTGGCTGGCTCCTCGCTGCCTCCCCGCCTGCAATCTCCCCATCAGCCGTCAGACAGAGCTGGCTTTGTGACTGCAAACCACGAGCATCTCTCCTGGCAACTCGAGCAAAACCTACAAAGAAGAGGAGATAAGAGCCAAGCGGGCAGCTTCCTAAACGTGCAGCCTGCGAGGGCTAAGACGTGGAAATCATACCAAAACAGGTCTTTAATATTAAAGAGATGGAAGGAAGATGTCTCCTCTTGCCTGAGGGATAAATAGATCTGAAACTCCTTCTAGACTTTGCTGCTTATCGCATCTGAAATACGTCTCTCTCACCCTGGAATGGAGCCTCTCCAGGAGCCCTGAACACCTGGCTATGCTGAGCATGTGCAGCACTCTTGTTTTCTGCGTCTCTGCACCCGCCAGATGGGTTTGCTGCATTTCTCCTACATCCGTGGCTGGGGCACCCTGGGACTGAGGCAAGTGAGGGCACTGGGTGCGCTGAGCCATTCCTGCTCATCCTCCTGCACCCAGGAGCCAGGTGCCTGGCTTTTGCAGTCATCCTACACCGACGCCATTCCCAGATCCCGAGCTCTGCCTCCACTGGCTGTCCTATAAATGCCACAGCTTTCCAAAGAGAACTTTGAATGTGTAGGACTTTGTGCTTGCAGGAGCATCATTAATTAATCAAGTGACTTAATAATTAATGCTCCCAGCTCGCATGCCACTCTGTGTGCTGCGTGGCCGTGCCGTGGTGCGAGCTGCTGGGGGGCTGAGCATGGGATCAGGATTTAGGCTGGAAAATTCAGGAGAAAGATGAAAGAAAGGCAAAGGAAGCACATGGAGCTGTGCTGTCTTCCAGCTGAGTGCCTGCCCCCGGCACCTCGTGTCAGCCATGCGCTGTGGTTGGTGGGTGCTCATCCTGATGGAGGTGTATGGGAAACAGTTGGGTTCTCCCCACCTCCAAAGGATGGTGTAGGATCAGCGTGTCCTCCTGACCTCCCCGAAGCAGCAGAGCTTAGAAGTCTCCCTCCGAGAAGGATGGGCCCTGCAGGAGTTCTCAGCCAGTTTGTCCCAAATGCATTGAGGGTGTGTGGATTTGGGTTTTGGGGTGGGCTCTGGCACGGCTGCCTGGAGTCCTGTGTCCTTCAGCTGGATTTTGTGGTGTCTGTTGGCACGCTTTCAAGGAGCTGCAGCATTGAGGTCTTTTGGACTTGCATCTCCCCATCAGGAGATCGATGTCTGGGATTTCTCTTTCCCCGTTCCTCCTCACACACCCATCCCCTGTCTTTGCTCTTTGCTGCCCCTCTCCAATAGAAAACACCTTTTTTTTTGCTTGCTTTCTTTTGCTAGAGCTGCTCTGATAATCCTGTAAATGGCTGGAGCGGGTGAGTGGGTGCCAGCACGTCTGTCCTGGGCACTGTCCCTGCTTTGATCAAAGGCACGCTGATCCCCAAGTGCTGCCAGCACTGAGATAAGCCCCACCGCCCTCTGGCATGATGTCAGCCAGCGCTGAGCAGGTCACCTGGGGGCTGTGCTGTCGGGCTTGGAGGCACCCACTGAAGCTGCCAGCTGGAGCTGCACATGGTTATCCCACCCCAGGGAGGTGGCATTCAGTGTGTGCCGTGGGATGGTGACATGGTGACGGAGCTGGGTGCTATCAGAGCTCCCAAACACAAGGCTTTTGCACCTGTTGGCTTTCATCGCTCAGAATTTCACGCCCGGATGACTTAGGTTATTTGGAACGAGTGAGAAAATTCATAACTGCTGGTCCTGGCGCGACTCTGCCCGAAGCAAGGTGCTTTAGAGGTTGGCATCAGGCAGAGCAGCAATACTGACGTGCCGCCCTCTTCTCCCTTAGCGTCCCCATGCTGACAGTGTGATGGCAGAGCTGCTGTTCCCAGGCGCTGCCGCTGCTCACCAGCCTTGGCTGCGTTCCACCTCTGTCCTCGGCGGCGGCGGGCGCACGTTCCTCGTGATGGGAAAACCTCCGCGCGGACACAAAGGGCTTTCAGTAGGGAGCTGGCTGCAGGGGCAGCGGCATGGGAAATGTCGTCCTGCCCAGCTCCTGCTAGAGGGCACGCACGCTGCCTCTGCATCCCCCAGCTCATGGCAAGCAGCAGTATTAAATGCTCTTATGTCGCCATGGGAGCTTGGGTCCCACATCTCCCACGGCAGCAGCAGCTGGCCCCATAGGGCAGGGCACGGCAGCATCAGGGCCTCGCTGTGCGTGGGATGGGAGCACTGCGTGCCGTTATTTCACACAGCAGATCTCACAGGGGCCTGATTCTGTGCCGCCCCACGCTGGTCCCTGCTGCCCTTGGCCTCAGCAGGCACATCTCTTCACCCCAGTGAAGCAGAAGGAGGGAAGGCTGCAGCACCAGGAGATAACAGATGTGCAGCAGGGGGAATTCAGGGGCCGATCTGCCCTCTTCTTCCAGCTCAGCCATATCCCCATACCCAGCTCCCCACGCCAGGTCACATCCCCATGCCCACCTCCCCACGCCCCTTTTTGCTCCCGAGCTCTTGGTGGGAGCAGACAAGCGCCCCTTTTCCTGATGGCTGATAAATGAGGCTGTGTTTGTTCCAGTGCAGGGTGAAATATGAAATCCCATAAAGCCTCCTTGCTTATTAGAGAGATCGCAGTGAGCTGCTTATTATGCACTGTGGCGTAATGCAGATTACAAATGTGACCGAGCGATAATTAGCAGAGCTGGAACTGTAATTAAACGCTCCTGTGCTGCACTGTGGTTTCTGTTGCAAAGTGGAAGGAAGCCGAACAGTTTCAAAACCCACAGGTGCCCTTCCTCTCCCCTGCATGCACAAACAAGCAGCCCAAAGCCAAGCATCCCTCCTGCTCCTTGCCATCGCTTTTCTTGCCTGGGACTCGCTCAGATTCGGAACACTTGGTGTGTGGTTTGAGTTTGCTTCCTTGAGCCCCGCCAGGACCCTGCTGCCTCCTTGGAGCATCTCATCCCTGCAGTCACTGAGAGTGCAGGCTGGGCTTAGGGGACTGAGGTGTCTGCTGGTGAGGTCCCTATAGCCAAAACCTCCTGGCATCCCACAGGACACATGCTGATGGGATGCCGGATGCTTTGTCAGATGCTTTGCATTGCTGAGGATTTGGAGAGGCTTTGCAGCTCATGGCAAACATCCTTGTTTGGGTGCATGGGATGCACCGATGTGCAGTAGTGTGTGGGACAGGGAGTTGTGTGGTGTGAGCTTCTGGTGCAAGGAGTCTCTGGGCTGGATACTCCAGAGACCCTCAGCTGATTGAAACCGAAACCTAGGGCAGCACTCGGTGATAATTCTCAGCCTGCTTCTGTTTTGAGTCTGCTCAGTGCCTTATCAAGATCATAAAATACTGTGCGAGAGGAGACGAGCAGGGGATGAGCAGCCAGCCCCAAAGCACTGCAGATCTGTGTGGCAGTTACGCCTGGCGTGTCCAAGCCCAACTCTGCCTGTGACATGAAGGAGGAGGGCAGAATGGTTGGTGTTTGGGGTCTGATTTTTGCCTGGAGAAGGGGGATATGGTCTGGACGTGTGTCTTGGGATGGTCACGGGGTGGATGTGGGAGGAGGAGGATGTTGGCTTTCATGGGACCGCACGGAGCCCGCTGCTCGTTGGGCCTGTCCTGCCAGTCGAGCAGAAGCCTGTCGTTTTTTTCTAATGAGCCATCGGGTCCAAAGCCATCGAGTGCCTGCACATCAGAGCAGCAGCCCAGAGCCGTGCTGACCAGGCCCGATGGCACCGGCAGAAGTGGTTAGGGAAGGATCTTGGCACCTGCTTCTGCAGATCTCTCCTGCAGAAGGACCCACCCCCCTCCAAAGCTTTTGAGGGTTTCGTGGGTACGGGCGTGCCGGGGTGGGAGAGACCGACAAGGTCCTGTCCTCTGTTGGGCACTGGAAGCTCCCGAGGCTCTCCGAAGCACGGCTGCCTGTTGGTGCTTGTTGTGATCAACACGCTTCTTCCCCACAGATGGAATCTCCGGTCTCCACGCCCGCCGTGCTGCCTTTGCACCTCCTTGTCCCCGTGGTCAACAACGACATCTCGTCGCCGTGTGAGCAGATCATGGTGCGCACCCGCTCCGTCGGTGTCAACACCTGTGACGTGGCGCTGGCCACCGAGCCCGAGTGCCTGGGGCCCTGCGAGCCCGGCACCAGCGTCAACCTGGAGGGCATCGTCTGGCAGGAGACGGAGGACGGTAAGTGGCGGCTTTCTGCTCTCCAGCATTCCCGCTCAAAGAGCTGTGGTGATCCTTTTCTTCCTCTGTCCCCGTGCCTTGGCGCTTCCAGGGCGTTGTGCTGCAATTTGGGTGGTCGGGACAGAGGAGCTGTGTGGGAGCAGCTCGCGGGCTGTGCGGCGGAGGGAATGGCAGGCCAAAACTTGCGTCAGCCTGCGCGCTGTGTTAGCCCGTCACCCAGACAGTGGGCGAAAATCTCAGCTGCCATTTCCCTGCCTTTCTGCAAGAGCTGACTTGCTCCTGGAGGTGCCAGAGGAGAGGCCACGCCAGCCCGAACGGGAACTCGACAGAGTTGACTTCATTTTTGCTTGGCAACCTGCAGGTCTGTCACAAAAGCGCTCAAACCCTGGGAGGCAGCAGCAATCTCCTGCTGGATTAAAAAACCCCGGCGGAGCTTTCAAAATAGACTCGACAGGAGATCAGGCTCTCGTCTCTTCTGCCAAGCCAATCGAACCTTTTTCCGCTGGAGCTCGTCTCATCTGCACACAGCTTGCTTTGCTTTCCCAGCCTCTTTGATGGGTTTGAGTTGCTGTTGGGGCTCTGCCAAGAAACACAAGGATGAATAGGTGGCTCAGCGGAGCACAGCGAGCGCTGGAACCCGGCCTTCCCTCCAGCCTCTTCGGGGACATGGGAGGGTTCTGCTTCTGGAGGCCTGAGGTGAACTCCTCGCGGTTGTGTCTGGCTTCAGCTGAGCCCGGGAGGGCAGAGGTGGCAGAGGATGGGGCACCCAGAGCTGGGTGGGACCTTCCACCCTCCTGTGTTCCCTTCTGCTTGCTGTGGAAAAAACCATCTGAATGTAGCTAGCAGGGAGCTGAGCGTGTGCTTCCTGCTGCTCCCGAGGCAGGAGAATGCCACGTGCTGTAAAATCGGGCCCAGGGGACCCTTGTCTTGGCTGGTAGGGATACAGCCGTGTGCATCAACACTTGGGAAGCAGCTGCTGCTCTGCTTGCCCCAGGGCTGTACCAGAAAGCCAGCAGGGAGAGCGCTGCATAGTGGTAGCACCACCGGGGTCTGGGATCCTGCGTGACTCCCTTGGCCACAGGCTGCAGTCTATAATACCCCAGGGCTCTGGTTTCTGTCAAACCCCCAGGGGCGGTGGTGATGAGAGATGGACCTTCTGTTAATTTTTTGAAGGATGGGCATCAGAAGAGGTGCGTGCTGCACGTGCAAGGAGGAACAAACACCCCGACGGGAGGCAGAGGAGCAAACAGACCCCTTGCTTAGCCGGGAGGGGTCGAAGCGCAAGCAGTGCGCTCTGCTCGCTCGCAGGGTGGCTGAGCGCTGAGCGCTGTGTGGGGCTCCAGTCCTCTGAGGAAGGAGCTCTGCTGCTGCTTTCCCACGTTGTTCCAGCCAAGCTCCGCAGCCTGTCCGCCTGTCTGTCCGCATCACCCCTCGGTGTGCAGCCCTGTCTTCAGCCCCTGCCTCAGAGGCGCGCTGCCTTTCCTGCAGCTCGCCTATTTTTAGTCTGCAGTAATTCAATGAACTTGTGTGGAGATCCTTCTCTGCCTGCCTCCGCTGCCTGCCACTTGGCTCCTGCTGTCAGGAGCGATGGCTTTTACAGCGAGCCCTGCGCTCCTGTCACGCAGAATACAAATCTCACCATTTCCCCTGGTTGCTTCCAGTCCGCCACATCTGTCAGCCCCTATAGGAGAAACACACTGCCTGCTCAGCTCTGTGCACCTGGAAGCTCAGGGTGAAAGCGGCTCTCTGGTGTCCTGCCTGGTGTCTTGCTCCCGGGGCAGTGGTGCTGGTTTGGGGGCCATGCTGGAGCATGGCTGGAGCCTGTCCCCAGCAGGCTTAGAGCAGAGGGATATTTGGATTCATCCCCTTCCAGTGGGTTTGCCTTGTGACTGAGGATGCAAAGCCTTGCTTGGAAGGGCTTGGTTATGCAGAGGAAGGCAGTGTGGCTCCCTTTTTGTGGAAAATGGTCTCAGGGTTGTCCTCATGGCCAGGAAATGAGGGTGAAGGCGTCACAAAGCCAAGGCCCACCAGTAATCCTGCATCCTGAGAAGGACAAGGAAAGCCATCCCAACTGCAGTGGTGCTCCCACAAGTCTCTTGATGTTCTTCTGCCTTGACCGACACGTCCCACAGTCACACCCAGCTTCCTCCTCTGTCCCCAGCAGTGGCCCCTGCTTCTCTGTACTGTCCCACTGCCGCAATGGTGACACCTCCATTCCCCTTCACCAAGCCCGTCTTGTGCAGGGAACGTGCGTTGTTAAATGCCTTTCTCAGGAGCAGCTGCCTTGGCAGTTTCCCTAATTCTGTTAGGTGTGATTTCGATCTGCAGGAACTATTAACTGATCTAATTATACTAGAGAGCATCACTCCACTTGCTGCCTCATTAGCTCCCGGCTCTCCTCCATCCTGCTCGCTGGTGTCACCAGCAGGGTGGCACGTCCTTGCTGCGCTCACTCAGAGCAGTGACCAGACCCAAACCACCACACAACGGTGCTGTTTGCAGCCCCAACAAGCCAGTGTTTGGGATTCAAAGCTTCAGAGCATCGAGCAACATGGCACAGCACGACAGAAACCACCGGGCAAGGGACATTCCCTCTTGGGTGCTGCTGTCCTGATGCGCCCCAGCTGGGGAAGCAGCAGCCCTGGGAGCGAAGCAGCTGCTCACACTCTAGCAGAGAGGAGAGGGGCTTTATCATGCATAATTTCCTGGTACTCCCGCAGCGTGGCTGCTTCAGATCTAATATTGGCTGGCAGGATGCTTGACAGTGCAGGGAGGCAGGGAGGCAGGGAGCTCGAGCAGAGCTAATGCACTGCTTATCACTCTCAAAGCACTGTTTATTTCAGCATCTGTCAGCTTTGTATGAAGGCTGTTTTATCAACAGGTGAGCAATATTCTGCTCCAGACAGGACTGTTGCTGGTGTCGAGCTGCCTGAGGCGTGTACGTCGCTGCCCTAGGTGACAGCAGCTGGGCTCCCGCCCTCACCGCCTTGCCTGGATTAGAGGGCTTGTTTACAAGGAGGCTCTTGAGCTGCAATCTGCTGTGCCACGCTTTGTGGGAGCGCGCTTGGTGTTGGTTCCTCTGCCTCCCTTCTCCAGGAGGACGCATTGAGTGGAAGAATCCCATCCCGTGGTTTGTGGCAGACTGTTCCTCATGGTGAGAATGCACCTGGGTGTAGTCCCGTTGCCTTGCAGAAGGCTCCTGCACCTGCAGGTTAACAGCGAGGTAGCAGAGCTCTCCACAGCTGTTCTGTCTAGCATGGGAGCTCCTGGATGGCAGCGTCTCAGTGGGATGGGGATGCTCTGCGTGCGATGGAGCCGCTTGTTCAGCCCTTGAACATCAGAGGCAGAAGGAGTTGAAGCCGCCTGTGTCCGCAGGGGAGAGCCAGCAGGGCTGGGAGCTGAGCACTGCTCTAATTAGGGAGCTGATGTGCTGGCTGTGCTGGAAATTAAACCTTCCTCGCACGCAAAGCTTCAGCCTGGATCCGTCCCAGCGAACAGATACCCCACTGCAGTGCCCAGCTCCTGTCTCCTCAGACTGATTTCTGGAGGAAGGCAGCCCAGCTGCTCCAAAACGGGAGCTTGGCCAACAGGGTGCTCTGCACCGCCACGCTCACCTCTTTGTCTGCACGCACTCTTGCAGGGTTTCCTCACTGTGCAGCACCTTGCATCCAAACCACTGCCGCCTTCCTTGGGAGCAGCCTGGCAGTGTCACCCTCCATTCATCCCCCTCTCTGCGCCCTGCTGCAGTGACATCAGCATGTGGTGAAAGCAGGTGGGGTTGGCTGCACAGTGCTGCAGCTCCAGCCCTCCCAAGGAGCGCAGAAAGCACCGTGCTCGGCTGCCTGGTGCAGAGCTCATCACCTCCAAGGGCTTTTCCAGCCAAGGACGGAGGCTAAGGGACTGCTGGGACATCGGTGACACATTACCCTCCAATGCTCAGCGCAGGGCATTGCTGCCTGCCCTCGTGTCCCAGAGCACCCGCAGGGGACAGCGGGTGAAAAAAGCTGCTTAGCATCCATCCCTGTGCTTTAAATTGTCCTGGGTTATTGGCGGCGGATTAGGAGGGGATTTGGGATGATTGGTTGCAGCAGGTTAAATATAGGCTGGAGCATGGCAGAGGGCTTGCTGCTGTGCAGGGAGGAAGGAACAGCCCGTGCCAGCACTCTGTCTTTCATCTCTCGGGGGCCACAGCTGCGTGAGCACCTCTCCATTTCTGACGTTGTCCTTCCAAAGCCTGCAGCTGGCTGCTGGCACCTTCTGAGCGAGGCCACGGCCCGAGATTTGCAAATGTGCTTCAGGCACAGCTGTTGTGGGCTCCCTGGGCTCCATTCATCTTCCAGGGCTGTGCTGCCGTATATCTAGATGCACTGGTCTGCCCTTCTAAATGAGATTTCTATCTTCCAAGTTTTACCTTGCTCAGATAAATGTACTCAACACAATGGACTCTGCTCCTGGTCAAATTAGTTATGCAGTAATCAGAGCAGTCCATTGCTGGGAGGAAATACCCACTTGAGTTTCACTCTGCTAACGGCCTCAGAATATGCAGTGCAGTCACTTGCTTATCTGCTCTTGCAGCTTGCAGAAGGTGCTAGCATCGGGTGGGCTCGCCGGCTAGATGCACACTGGGCCTTCCCTGCTTGCAGCAATGGGAAGAGCCGTGGGATGCTGCAGAAGACCCCGAGAAAGAAGCACAGGAGCCAGGCAAAGCAGCAGATGAATCTTTCACCAAAGAAAGCCCCAGTTCCCATCACCACCCTGAGCCCACATGGCGGTGATGCCGGGCTCAGCTTGCCATCTAGTGGCAGTCACGCCCCCTCCTTGGGGACATGGGGTTTGCAGCCACAGCAGGGCCTTGTGGTAGCTACTCTGTGCAGGTTGCTTCCCCCACTGCAGGCTCTTGGGATGCACTGGGAGCCCTCTGTCCACCCCAGAGCGTGAGACATAAATGCCCCTTCCCCTGTTGCCAAGTGTCCAGGGAAGGGAGAGCGGTGACCCTGTCCCCTTGCCTTGCAGGTATGCTGGTGGTCAACGTGACCTGGAGGAACAAGACGTACGTGGGGACGCTGCTGGACTGCACGCAACACGACTGGGCACCTCCCCGGTAAGCACAGGGCTGGGTTGAGCGGCTCCCGGCCCGCCTCGCCCGGGCACAGGGATCAAAACCACATGTGGAAGCATGGTGGGGCCGTGGCACAGTAATCCCCCGTCCTTCTCTCTGCAGGTTCTGTGACTCTCCCACCAGCGACCTGGAGATGCGCAACGGCCGGGGCCGAGGCAAGCGCATGCGTCCCAACAGCAACACACCTGTGAATGAGACGGCCGCCGCCTCGGACAGCAAAGGGACCAGCAACAGCAGCAAGACCCGGGCAGGAGCGAACAGCAAAGGGCGCCGTGGGAGCCAGAACTCCTCGGACCACCGCACGCCGCCCAGCGGCTCGGCGGAAGACGTGAAGGCCAGCCCCTCGTCCGTCACCAAGCGGAAGAGCAAACCCCTCTCCGACATGGAGCTCAACTCCAGCTCGGAGGACTCCAAGGGCAGCAAACGCATCCGCACGAACTCGATGGGCTCGGCAGCTGTGCCCCCCACCACGGTCAAGGTGGAGCCAGCTGTCCTCGACCGCAACTGCCCCTCTCCCATCCTCATCGACTGTCCCCACCCCAACTGCAACAAGAAGTACAAGCACATCAATGGACTGAAGTATCACCAGGCCCACGCGCACACGGACGATGACAGCAAGCTGGAGGCCGACGTGGACAGCGAGTACGGCGAGGAGCCCTCCCTGCACGCCGACGTTGGGAGCTGCAACGGTGCCTCTGTGTCACAGAAGGGCTCGCTTTCGCCTGCGCGCTCCGCCACCCCCAAGGTCCGCTTGATGGAGCCCCACAGTCCCTCCCCATCCAGCAAGTTCAGCGCCAAGGTCCCCAGCAAGAAGAAGCTGGCAGGGGAAGGAGACACTGACCCCGGTGCCCTGTCTAATGACGGCTCCGAGGATGGTCCCTCGGTGGCCGATGAGACGAGCAACGACGGCTTCGACACGCTGGAGAAGAGGTGCGTGGATAAAGACAAGTCCAAGAAGGCATCTGGTGCTAAGCAGGAGAAGATGCCTTCCAAAAGCTTGAAGTCTGCCAGACCCATTGCCCCTGCCATTCCCCCGCAGCCTATTTACACCTTCCAGACGGCCACCCTCACCGCAGCCAGCCCCGGGTCCTCCACGGGCCTCACCACCACGGTGGTTCAGACCATGCCGAGCAGCCCCCAGCTCAAACCCATCCAGCCTAAACCTACGGTGATGGGAGAGCCCTTCGCGGTCAACCCTGCACTCACCCCTTCCAAGGAGAAGAAAAAGAAAGACAAGAAGAAGAAGGAGCCCAAGGAGGTAGAAAACCCTCTGACTCCTGGCAAGGTGTGTAGGGCAGAGGAAGGGAAGAGCCCGTTCCGGGGGGAAACGAGCGACCTCGGGACAAAAAGTGAGGGACTGCTGAACGGCTCCTCCGACCCCCACCAGAGTCGGCTTGCTAGCATCAAGGCTGAGGCGGATAAAATCTACAGCTTCACTGACAATGCCCCAAGCCCCTCCATCGGTGGTGCCAGCAGGCTGGAGAACGCCAACCCTGCCCAGCCCATGACCCCACTGCACGTTGTCACCCAGAATGGGGCGGAAGCGAGCTCAGTAAAAACCAACAGCCCTGCCTACTCGGACATCTCTGATGCCGGGGAAGACGGCGAGGGCAAGATGGAGAGTGTGAAGGCAAAGGATCCAGAGCAGCTTGTCAAGGATGGAGCCAAAAAAGCTCTTTTCCCCCCACAACCTCAGAGCAAAGAGTCTCCCTATTACCAAGGCTTCGAAACCTACTATTCCCCTGGCTACCCTCAGGCAAGCCCGGGGCCCTTGAACCCCAGCAGCCAGGCTGTGGCCGAGACACAAGCCTTGAAGCTGAAGAAGGACGAGGAGCAGGAGAGCCCAGAGGTGAAGGTGAAGAGCGAGGGCGTTGAAGAGAAGAAGGCAGAGCTGGGCAGCTCCAGCCAGCAGCCCTCTGTCATCCAGCAGCGTCCCAACATGTACATGCAGTCCCTCTACTACAACCAGTACGCCTACGTGCCGCCCTATGGCTACAACGAGCAGGGCTACCACGCTCACCTGCTGAGCACCAACCCTGCCTACCGGCAGCAGTATGAAGAGCAGCAGAAGCAGAGGCAGAGCCTGGAGCAGCAGCAGCAGAGAGGACTGGAGAAGAAGGCAGAGCTCGGCATGAAGGAGCGGGAGGCAGCTCTCAAGGAGGAGTGGAAGCAAAAGCCGCCCATGCCCCCGACGCTCACCAAGGCCCCCAGCCTCACCGACCTTGTCAAGTCAGGGCTGAGCAAGACCAAGGAGCAGGGAGGTGCTGACATGGCCAAATCTGTCATCATCCCCAAGCTGGAGGACTCGTCCAAGCTGTCAGGCAGCCAGGTGGCCGAGGGGCTGAAGGTGAAGCTGAGCGAGGCCGGCCACCTTGGCAAGGAGACCGCAGAGACAAAGGGAGGCTCGGAGTGCGGTCGGCAGGCAGAGGTGGACCCTGTGCTCTGGTACAGACAGGTAATGTCAGCCCACTGCCCATTTGGTGGGCTTTTCCCGTGTGTTTTCCAGGGCTGTCACTGCAGAAAACGCGCGTTGTCCTCTGATCCAGGGCTTGTTCCCATCGTGAAGGGACTCCATGATTTTCCATGGCTGGGGGCCACCGAGGGGAACATGGAGAACCTGGGGAAGGGGTGATGGCTGTGATGCTCTCTTCCCAGTGCCCAGTGGTATGGGGACACACGGGGCTGGGGGGGGAGGGAGGCAGCTGCCCTGACCTGGGTGTGGTTCTTGCAGGAAGCAGAGCCCCGGATGTGGACCTACGTTTACCCAGCAAAGTACTCGGACATCAAGACGGAGGATGAGCGATGGAAGGAGGAGCGGGACAGAAAGTTGAAGGAGGAAAGAAATCGAAGCAAAGAAGTGGTGTCCAAGGAGGATGGGAAGGAGAGCACGAGCTCCGAGTGCAAACTGACCCCCACTGAGGAAGCTCGCATGGTGGGGAAGGACCCCAGGCCCAGTGTCCACGTCCCTGTGTCCTCCCCCCTCACGCAGCACCAGTCCTACATCCCCTACATGCACGGCTACTCCTACAGCCAGTCGTACGACCCCAACCACCCCAGCTACCGGGCCATGCCCACCGTCATGATGCAGAACTACCCAGGTAGGAAGCCACGGCCATCTCAGGGGCAGCCGTGCCTGTGTCCCGGCCCAGACCCGTGGTGATATTGGTGACCACGCTCCAGGAGCCAGCGGGTGGGGCGCAGGGGAGTGATGGCTGGGGTCTCTGTTTCACTCACTGGAATGTGGGCACGGCTCGGTACAGAGCAGCACACCTCTCCTCCCCGTGCCCTGACTGCTGCCTTTCCCCCGCAGGCTCGTACCTTCCCTCCAGCTATTCCTTCTCGCCCTACGGGAGCAAGGCATCTGGGAGTGATGACAGCGACAAGTCTCGCGCCAGCCCCAGTGTCAGCTGTAAGTCCAGCTCCGAGTCCAAGGCCCTGGACATCCTGCAGCAGCACGCCAGCCACTACAAGAGCAAATCACCCACGGTGAGAGTCAGCAGCTTTGCCTAGCTCGCAGGAGCTTCCAGAAGGTGCCTGCAGCCTGGAGGAGCTCCTGCTGTAGGAAGTCTGGGGCTGTAGGGTAATCCCACAACCCAGAACTTTTTGGAGTGGATGAGCCAAACCTTCATGCAGGGCTGCTCAGCCCTGCAGCTGGTGGGTGGAGGGGCAGAATGCAAGGGCTGTTTGTGTCCCGCAGCAATGTTGGGCCACGAGGCAGCTCCTCTCTGAGTGGGGAACAGGGGGGCTCTAAGGCAGCCCGTGCTCTGGGGCAGGGAGGAGCTGCTGGGCTGAGACCTGCTGGTGACTCTCACCATCCTTCCCCTCTCTCTGCTCAGTGCTGAGTGCACCCTGTAAGCGAGGGAGATGGGGATGCTGTGCCATCAGGGCAGCCCTGGTAGAGGGAAGCCCTGCATACCCCCGTCCCTCAGCGCCCGCTGCTTTCTCCCCCACAGATAAGCGAGAAGACAGCTCAGGAGAGGGACCGCAGCGGCTGCGGGGTGGTAGGGGGCAGCGGGAGCTGCAGCAGCATTGGAGGAGCCGGCGGTGGGGAGAGGAGCGCAGAGCGGCCCCGGACCTCACCATCTCAGCGCCTGCTCTCCACGCACCACCACCACCACCATCTCGGGTACTCGCTGCTGCCGGCGCAGTACAACCTGCCCTATGCAACAGGTGAGAGCCCTGCGGGCCCTGGGGAGTGCTGGGCGGCGTGAACCCCGCTCCTGGCCTGGCTGCTGACCCCCCCCTCTCCCCGCAGGTCTGTCCTCCACGGCCATCGTGGCCAGCCAGCAGGGCTCCGCGCCCTCCCTCTACCCGCCGCCCCGCAGGTGAGGACGGTAAGGCTGCCGTGGGGCGCTGGGCTTGGCCCCTGGGCGTGGGCTGAGCCCTTGGCTCCGGCAGGACGTGACGCCGGGACCGGGCTGTGCAGCAGGCATGTGACAGGCTCACATGGGGACGCGCCGGAGACTCCTGTAGACATCAGTTGAATGGTGTTGATTGTTCTGCTGGACGTTCTGCCGTCGTCTGAGGCAGACTGTCCTCTCCCCCGTCGGACACACACTGAGCCCCACAGCCCTTTGGTGAGCGGCAAGCCGGCACCTGCGGAAGTATTTATTTTCCTGGGCTCCGGCGCTCGGGATGGGAACAGATCGCCCACCTGGTGCATATGAAGAGGAAACGGAAGCACTGAGGTCTCTGGATGAATTTGCGGCCTCGCCGTGGGGCTGAGCAGCGTGGGGCATGAGGCGGTGGGGCTGGGACGCTGCCTCCCGCCTCCGCGGGGCCACGGCCGGGCCGAGCCCTGCGCTACAGCAGTCTCAGGGAGCTGTGGGAGGTGAGCAGCGGGGCGGCCGCAGCTGTAGCCATGGGGTCAGGCAGCCTCGGTGCCCCCGCAGCTGCCCCGTACGCCTCTCACAGCCCCTCGCCCCGGGCTGGGCAGCGGGACCCCCACCACCTGCCCTGCTGCCGGGGTCTCTCCCCAGTGCCTTGCGTGGCCCGGCCCCACGGCTTCCCCCTGGGCTCCGAGCTGTGCCCCCCGGGGTGCCGCTCCCCTTGCACCCTCCCCTCTCCCATCGGCTTCCCCGGGCTGCGGGCAGAGCTCAGCGAGGAACAAGCACACTTAGGCTCTGCCCAGAGGCACGAGGTCGCTGCCGCCACTCCCTGCACCCGAGGACAGGGGCTTTCTGGTCCTCTGCCCGCCCGCCGCCCCCCGGCCAGCGCTACCTCGGCCCCACCGTCTCCCCCCGGGCCGGGGCCGCAGTGCCATCTCCGCTGTGCGTGCGCGAGGCACCCCGGCCCCAGAGCCGCTGTACCGGGATGCTCTGTACATACTGTAAAAAGCAATTGTTTGAAAGCTGTTGTTTTTGGGTTTTGTTTTCTTCCCGTCCCCCCGCTCTCCCACCTTTCCCAGCCCGAGGGATGCCCGGCAGCACGGCGCTCCCCGATGCCTCCCAGGTTGGCTCGTCGCTCTTCCAGCGGTTGCCCCAGAGGCAGCGGGGCCGGGGTGCTGCAGGATCACCCCAGGGCCAGGGCCACCCCGGTAGGGCCAGCGACCGCAGGCGGAGCAGAGCGGGGCTGAGCCGTTGGTGTTGATAGCTCTCGTTTCCATTGGAGTTGCTGTGTTGGGTTTCATTTCAGTCTTCCTGATTCTGCCCTTCTGTAAAGTGTACATTATTACCAAGTTCCTTGTTTTTTATATATATATATATATAAATATATATATATACAAACTGTACTCTTCTTGCCTTTGTACATTTGGGCAAGGAGAGAGAATAAATCTTTTTAAGAGACAATCACAAACCTGTGAGGGTGGCTTCTTCTTCCCATCCCCGCTCCCCTGCGCTGCGTTGGGGGATCCACAGGCAGCCCCTGGTGCCCAACACGGCGCAGGGACCCAGCCCAGGGCTGAGACCCATCCCTACACCACTTAAAGCCCGGAAATGCACTTAAAGGGATAACTGATCGGGGACTCCAGGAAGGTCAGCTGCTGAGAGGCAACAGGCATAATTAAGGCTTTAATGGGCAGCAATTACATAAAGGGATGGGTGTGTTGGAAGCAAGGCAGCACTGAGCTCAGGAGCCAGTCCTCACCCCACTGCCTGGCCTGTGGGGAGGGAGCACAGCCATTCCCCAGACAGCCATCGGTTCCACTAAGGGACTTGGAAAAGGATGGCAGCCCCCCGTGCCGTGCCCCTCGAGCCCACTTCTGCCCTGCTTCCATCACACTGGAAGGGAAGGAGGGCAAAGAGATGGCTTGTTCACACCAGCTTGTATCCCTGCTCCACCTCTCTCCCCTTTTAGAAAATACTGAGCACGATTACAGAACGGCTCAGCTTCTGCTCTGACAAAATCCTTTGCAGGACAGCAGGAGTGAGAACAGCCCCACAGCCAGACCCACTGGGTCTGGTGCTGAACTGGGCTGAGACCCACCACCACTGGTTGCAGGTGATGTTCCCACCACTCCTCCACCCCACGGTACAAGGAAGGCTCCGCTCTTGCAAAAAAGCAGCCCCAGCTGGGTGAAGTTAATCTGAATGCCCCTTTTATTGAACGCGGTGATAGTGCAGCGGTAACATTGGACAGAGTAAGACTGCTTAAACAAAAGCTGGAAGAGGAAAGAAAGTTGGGCCTTTTTTCTTTAAAAAAAAAAAAAAAAAAAAAAAAAGAAAAAAGAAAAAAGACCAGTTAAAACAGCATTGGTTGCCCCAAAGCAGAGACGCAGAGGGGTTTTAATGTAGTGTTAAAGGTTAACTCACGCCTCCTCCACGTGTCTAACCCCCAAACATGCCTTACTTTTAAGAGTCTGAGTGAAAACCAAGAGGTGTTCGGTCAGATGAGCGCACGCCACACATCAGGTGATGGGGACAGACCAACAGCCAGGAGAGAAGTCGGGTTGACGATGCTGCATCTACCGCTGTGCTCCCTGCGCGGCCCAGCGAGGCCTCGAGGCCAGCATGGCACACTGCCGCAGGGCAGGAGCTCCTATGCCAGTTGATAAACATCTTCCATTTACTATTTGGTGATTACATGTGTGTATATATAGTTCTCTAGGCAACACGTTTCAATGAGATAGTCAACTCTGAGGATACACAGGCCAATCTAACAATGAGAAATGCAGTTTCAGTTCAACAAAAGCTCGTTTTCCCTTTCCTCAAGAAAGGAGATGTAACCCTCTCTCCCCTCAAAAGGTTTCCAGGTCACGCTCGGGTCCCCCGCCGCAGCTATTCTTCATCAGAGGAAGAGTTCTGGTCCAGGGGATACACCATGAACATCACGTCTGGCCGCGAGGGGACAGAGGGGTGACCAGGCCTCACGATCTCAAAGCCCAAGAAGCTGAAGGTCTTCAGGAGCGGAGCTACCAAACAGAAGGAAATGTGTTACCACCAGGAGCCTCCTCTGCAGCTGCCTCGCCCCGCAAGCCACGAACTCCCCTCCTAACTGCAGCGGGGATCCGCAGCCATCCTGCAGCACGCCGATGCTTTTCACTCTGCATTTAGCTGGGGGCCGCAGCTCTGCTCAGAACAGCCATCCCAGCTCAGGGCACCGCTGGCCATCAGCTTCCAGGCACAGCCAGGTTTAAGAGCAACACCCCATGCCTTATAATTAAAAAACGAGCAGAACCCAGCATCGCGTGTCTCCTCCACTACAGAGGTCACCCACGCAGCCAATGCTGGCGAAACACAAGAACTCGCTCAGCTGAAAATTATTTTTGGCATCCTAACATGGAGTGACATCTTCCTGGGCTCAGTGCGGCTTAGCTGCAATAGCAGGCATTGCTTTGGGGAGCGCAGCACAGCTTGTGATGTAGCAGAGTAAAATTAGAATTAAGGCTGGAATTACTCCTGCCACGGCGATTTGCTCCGTTATGAGCCCGCACCGAGTGAGACCCGAAGCGACACATCCACAGCTCTGTACTTCACCACAAATCTCCTCCGATTTCCGTGCTCTAATCGCTCACCCAACACATCTATCTTTAGGTCCTAAAGCAGCCCCCTTAAGCCGTAAGCATCTCCCATTGAGGCAGGATTACCTGCAGGCCTAGGAAGGGCAAAAGTGCTGGGAGATCTTTAAAAAGCAGAAGGGCATCGGGGCAACGAGCTACCAGGGTTTACGTCCTGGGTATTAAGCTCTCCAAACCACAGAGGCTGGTGCCAAATACCATTCCTCCCCCAAGGAGGAGGCTGAACTTTCTGGACAAGGAAACGCTCCAAAAAAAAAAAAAAAAAAAAAAAGCAGCACACGTAAGGATTCCTGCAGGAAAAAGCACCCCCTGAAGCCTTGGGACACACCAGGTTTCTGCACGGGTTCAGCAGCACTGCTTTAGATCTGAGGGCTAAATCTGACAGCAGGGCCGAGCTCTCACCTCTATCTTCTCTGCTTTTTCTGAAGCAAATAAAGACATAGCTGACTTTCATTTTTTCTTCAGCAAATTCCAGCAGTGCTGATAACCTGCCAAGGAGCAAGGAGAAGACAAAAGAACATCAGCAATAGGAAGTCCTGTCCCGAGGAAGCCACCGAGCACCATCCGTGGCTTGGATGCTGTCAGGCAGAACGATGACTTGTTTACAGATTGTCCCAGTGAACAATGGGTGCCAAAACAATGGGCTTCCTGCCTTCATGTCCAAGCCTGAATCCGAGTCCCCAGCACACACCGACACGCAGCAGTGCTGCACCAAAGCCTTCGGAGCTGGGGAGCTGGACATGGCAGCCGTGTGCATTCATTCCCTCCTCTGGCAACGCACACGACCCGTGGTACACAAAGCTGTTCCTGCACACATCACCCGGCTGGCAGAGCCGAGGAGCCGCACGGCAGAGCCCAGCTTCCTTCCTCTCCCCAGGCACGGGCCCCTCCTGTGGGCACAGAGCAGCATGGAGCCCTGCCGCCATTTGCGACGCGGGCTGTGAGCACGGTGACAAACAGGGCTGGAATCGAGATCTAATTAAACAGCAGTCAGCGAGCTCGCAGCACGCTGAGGAAGATTGAATTTGCCAGGATTTCGTTAATATGGTAATGAACTACTTTAATTATAGCCTCCACTCGGCTGTTTTACCCAGCTAAAAATAAGCCTGCGGCATCGTGCTTGAAGTCATGAGTGGGGCTGGTGAAGGCCCCCAAGAACCAGGGGCACACGTGGGGCCAAGCGCAGGGAGCACAGCCAGCCAGCCTCAGAGCACAGGGACCAGCACAAGGCAGCAGGAACAGCACGGGCTGAAGGTACCCAAGGAGCCTTTGTTGTGATGAGCAGGAGCTGGTCACACGTGCTGATGAAGCCCATCTTGAAGTTTAGAAGGGCTTCAGGGGGCTCTGCGCAGGAATCCAGCAAAGCCACATCTACGCCACGGCGCTCCCCTCCACAGATCTCCAACAGTGTGCTTGGCTGGGAGTAGCTGCTCTGGAAGCTGCGCTTACACAAACTTCCCAGAGCAGAGCTGTCTGGACAAAACACGGCCCTGTTCTGCCAGCAGAGAAAAATCAGAGGCTCTGGCAGAGCTGGCAGCCTGCGTGGCAGCAGCCCAACAGCAGAACCACCTACTGATGAGAAGGAGCACAGCAATACAATGGAGCTTTTCCCCCCTGGAAGAGAGGAAAGTACTTGCCAAAAGCAGCTTGCCAATTGGCCAGTGGGATAAAACGTTCCACAAAGTATGCAAAGAATCGCTCCACTCATTTCTTGAGTATTTTTCATTAGCACAGGGCCTCTGAAAACAGTAACCCATCCTGAATGGCCACCAAGGGGAAGAAAATATCCTCATGCTAGTCTCCCATACATACATCTCTGAGGACAAGGTGTTAAGGCCATCCTTTAGGTGTAAAACCAGGGAACAGAGCTGTTGTATGTGCAGCTCACCTCCCCATACACACCGCATCACAAACATAAGCAAAAGGCCACAGGCACAGCTCTGGGACCCCAGACTTACCCTTCTTTGCTTCCATCAGCTAATAACCCATCAGGGATTTCCACAAAGAGGCTCTGATTCGAAAGCACTGCATCCCAGGAGGAAGTCTTCACCTCTGTGACCTTGTACTGGAAGTGGACAACATGAGGCTTCCCTTCGTGCACCGGGACATCTTGGCTAACAGTGATCTTCTCATCCTGCACAGGGAGGGAGCAGAGCTCGTGACATGCACTGCAGGGTGCAGACACACCACGATGAGCATTCAGGCCTTACAGCAGGGCTCAAAATGCATTCTCCTGCTCACGTGAGTGCAGTTCTGCATGTTAGCCCTACACTCAAACCCTGGGCAGCAGGGGACCATTCAGATCTTGGAGGGCAGTTTGTCGGCGACTCCTGGAGCCTGAACCAACATGCCAGAACAGCTTCTGCCGCTGCAGCCTGACCACTTCTGTCACCCTGCTCCCCAGCACAGTCTCTTTGTTTAAGGAACGACCACAAGCTGCTTCCCCAGACCTTACAGCCAGCTGGTACGGCAGTGGATTAAGGGAGGAAAAGACAGCACAGAGAGAATCCCAAACCAGACAGAAGCTACACGGATTGAAGGCTGTGGCAAGGTCTTTTCCAGAGACCACAGATGCACGCATGCCCCCCTAACACAGCTCCAAGCAGGATGCCAAGCAGGCAGCCTGCCTCAAATTCAGTGAGCAGTTCCTAGAAAACAATTTTGTGGTTAAATGCCATTCCTTCTCCTGACAGTTTTCGTAGGCAGCAGGCTTGCCCAATAATAACTTCCACATTTAGCTGTGAAAAGCCCCAGTGAAACGACCGGAGAAATTCATCAGGCCCCAGAGTAACACTGTCAGCTGCAGCTGAATTGTTGTATCAGGGCA